AGAGCACCACTTACACATTGTTTTTTGCCTATTTTCAATTGATTTATCTTCTATCAAGTCAAGGTGCCCCAAAGGGAACCCAAAAGGCTATTTTAAAATAAATATGTCATAGGGCACCCGGACTATTATATAGCTGAGTGTGATGGAACACACTCTTAGGTTTTTGCACAACTTAATTCTGCAGCTTGTGGGCTTTAATGAATGTGATCCATCCCTCTTAATACCAATAAATACTAGTTCATTCATATCTATTTATAGTGACACTTCTGTCTCTAGAATCACTCAGGGCTGGGTATTTCCATGCTAGTATCTGTGGCAGGAATGTGTTCAGAGAAGTCATTCTGAAACGAGAAAATGAGGTGAGAAAAAAAAATCCAAGTTTCTCTGGCTCACCTCTTCAGCAATCGGTAAACAATGGACTAGGAGGACTTAAAACAATGAACTATAGAATGGGGAATGCAAAAGATTAAGATCAAGGTAAATTTGGGGAGCAAATGAAAAAAAAAAAGGGCAGTTAAATGAATAAACAAATAAATATGTATGGTTGAGGAAGCATTGGCTGAATGCAGTGATTGTCTCATAAGAGCAAAGAAAAAAATGCAATCTGGAGTTGTGCCTCTGTGAAATTAAAACACAGTCAAACACCTGGTATTAATGACAGGAGCCACATCTCTCTCAATGACAACCTGTATTTTCCACCCAGGCAACCAAAACAATGAATTTCAGACTCTGCTTTATTTAGCAGTGACGAAATTAGAGATAATCTAGAAGTAGAAAAACACCTTTGGGTAGAATGCAGGCTGCCCCACTTCGTATTAACAGAAGGACCAGCACAGATCTATTAATGTATTTCTGCTGCAGAAGTGAAAACTTCTGAAATCCCAGGGAAACCAATTACCTAAGTCAGGCAGGGAACTTACGGACTTGGTAATCGATGGGGTTTGAAAACTACCAAAAACTGCCCCAGCAACTCATGTAGGGGAACAACCCAGTTCTAGAGGGACTAATTAATTACAGCCTCAGCAGCATGCAGGAATAACAAATCTTGCTGTCAATGGAGAACACACTCATTTTCTAACTCTCAGTGTGCAGGTGTTTTACCAAAAACACAAATTAACCTGTACTCAAGGAACTTTAATTAACTGACTGCCTTAACAATGGATACGAAATCATACTGCATTTCCTTTGTACATGGAAGATTATTAACTAGTAGTAGCACACCACAGAGATGGGTTTATCAAAGTTTATGACTAATGTGATGCTTTTAGCCAGCCCTCACACGAAGCAGGGCTGATGTTGTTTCATTTTTGCATGACTCGTACTGGCACACAAAAACTGTGATTACACAGGGGGTGACAGCACAGAGGCTCAGCTCCTCCACGCCCTCAGCACACAGCCGTGGAAATTATGTAAAACAGCAGCAGATGAAGGATTACAGGTACTGTGTTCCACTCCACATCAGTGATTTATTTATCCAAGCTGGTGGCAGGGTTGGAAACAGGGTCATGATTTACAGGCTTCTTATAACAAGTAGCCCTCAGGATCTTTCTGCTCCTGAATGACTATGATCCATCAGAGTAACAACACTGTGAAAAGAGATGATTACAGCTTTAGAACACATCACAAGAGGAGAAAGGATCTAACATTTCATCCAAAAATAACTGCTTTAAGTTTAACCACCACTCACCAGCACTTTAGACTGCACCCTGAAAAGAGAAATGTGGCACCCAGGAGCTCTTCTGTTACGAGGAGCATTGTTACCACTCCCACATACTTCTGCTGAGGGAGTTTGATGGGGAAACTGGCATCCATACAGATTAGAATGGCACACAAAGAACACGATTTTATGGAACTGTTCAGTTTGCATATTCTGATGCTTGAAGCCATGTTAAATGCACTGTGCAGCAGCAGGAGGGTGTTTGAGCGGGGGGAAAAAGCAAACCAGAAAAGTTCTCAGCAAAAAAGTACTAAAAGAAAGACACTGGCTCCTTCCAAACACCTCCAAATCTGCAGCAGTATGAGTTTTGGTAAGTACAGGACATCACCAATACTTCTTTTCTGGATAGAGTTGTGTCTGCATCACCACCTGAAGCCTCATGAAACCTTTAGCAGTGCCCAAGTCCCTGCTCTGAGCTAATGCTACAGAGATCTGGCAACAGCAGCTCTTTAGAACTGCTGAGCATGGAAGGAAAGCCACAGAAAATTCTCACTGAAGTTAAAAATTCTGCAGCATGGATGATGGTGACAAGACACCCACTGCTATGAACTGTCCCAGGTCATTATTCTGGGCAGTAAAAAAAGTTCAGCCCAATCCCTGTTTTGAAATGGCATTTTCCCTACCCCTGTTTTTATACATGATGCCAATTAAGTGTTTAATTTAATGGCAATACTCTGAAATTTGAAGGGGTTCTCAGTACACACCAGCTGTTGAAAGCACTTCAGGAGTTTCATAAAACACACAGCCCAAGGCCTTGGGGTTTAAGATTTTATTTAGAGACATCCAGCATGGGTTGCAGCTATCATTTCCCCATTGAACGATGCTGTGTAGAAGACTTCAACTCTGCAAGAAGAAGAAATTAAAGAAATTTAAGAACCCTGTAATAAACAAATAAACATATATTTTAATTAGAATTTTTATTTGAAGACTTGGCTTCATCCACTGTCCGGTTTTGCATCAGAAAATCCTGACTTGCAGGCAGCCACACAGTTGTAAAGGCTCAACTTCAATACAAGCCTGCTGATTTTGGTTTTCTCCTCAGTCAAGATTGGAATAAACATCAAACTGGAAAAGGAATGAGACAATTTGTTCCAGTTATGAGATGCCAATGAGGACTGTTCTTTACCTGATCTTAATTGGACAGTAACCTATGAATGATGTAGATGGTGAGATTGCTTTGACACAGGTTCAAGAAAATGCAGATTTCCCCTGAGCTTTATCTGGCACATCAGAAAGCGTTTACAGCATCACAGTTTCTCATCCTGCTCTGTCACATCACACGTGCCAGTGACTCCCACAGGTCACCCCAGGTGCACCCTTTTATCTCCTCAGGGGTGGAAGCAGACATGGCTTTGTTAAGAGCCAGAAGCTGCAGGCAGAGAGGAGTGGCCTCTGGGGAGGCAAAGGTCACAAACCACCGACTGCAGCAGCTCTGTGACACAAACTTCCACCTGCTCACTGTTTCACTTATTACCATGCAACTGCAGACCACAAAGCACCTGGAGTGAAAAAGGCTGAGAATTATAAAGGTTTCTGACAAGAAACCTTTATAATTCAGGCTCATTAAATTCCACTGTGCTATTAAACCCAACAAAAGCAGTTACCCAGCTAGTGCAGCTACAGCCTGTCCTCTTCATTTCTTCAGGAGCTGGTGTCTGACTATGAAGAAAGGGGCACCAAATCCACTCCCAAAGAACACACACATCATTGCGAGCAGCCGCCACTTGTTGTCCACAGAGAATGGGAGGTTCTAGAGGAAAAAAAAAAGGAGTTTTACCTTTGCAATCAAAGCATTAACTCCTTTCCAATCCATTTAGAAGTGCTAAGAATCTCAGAAAAAAACAAATATGCAGTTTCAAAGCATTTTCAGTACTTCTCAAGGAAAGAAGCACAGTATTTAGGGTAATTAATAACCTTCCAGTATCTGAAAGGGTATCTACAAAGAAGCTGGAGATGGATTCATCATGAAGAATTACAGCAACAGGACAAGGAACAGCTTCTAATTGACAGAGGAGAGATTTCAGTTGGATACTAGAAAGAAATTCTCTGCTGTGAGGGTGGGCAGGCCCTAGCACAGAGTGCCCAGAGCAGCTGTGGATCCCTGAAGTGCCAGGTTGGGCACTGGGGCCTGGAGCAGCCTGGACAGTGGAAGATGTCCCTGCCCATGGCAGGGGGTGCAATAAAATAATCTTTAAAGTCCCTTCCGACCCAAAGACTCCATGATTCCAGCCTACATGTGACCTCTGGAGGTCACTTCGTCCCCACTTCTCCCTCCACCCCAAGGTGGGGCCAATTTGCTGCAGGTATCACACAATCAAACATAGAAGCCCCTGAGGATACACATCCGCAGCGCCCCAAGTGTTCTAACATTTCATTACCCCCACTGTGAAGAACTTCCTCGTATCACTTGTAAAATTAAGCTTTTAGACCGCAGGCTCAAGAAAATACGCCAGGTACATCAGAAAGCGTTTACAGTATCATTGTTACCCCTCATAACGCAACGCTCATCATCTGTACCAGCGCAGGCAAGGGCGCTAGGGTCCGTCACCACACGATCTGCGCTGCTGTGGTGGTACGCGCATCACCGCGCCACCCCAAAACCCACACAACACCAGCCACGCGCAAGGCAGCCACCAACCCCCACCCCACGACCTTCAGCAGGCCAGGACGCTGCTGCCCACCTTCCCGGGCCCCTCCTCATAGTGGCTGCGGCGGATGGCGGAGGTAGCGAAGCGGCGGACACCGGCGGACAACATGATGGGTGCAAGAGACAGCGGCCACTCGTCCGCCCTGCGCGACCTTCCCGAGAGCGGCGCGGCTAACCGGAACCGGAACCGGGAAGGAAGAAGGGAGCGCCAGCGGCATGACGGGAGTTGTAGTTCCGAGAGATCACGTGGTGCCAAACGACAGCCTGCGGTTGGTTGAGCCCCGCGCGCGCTCCCCGAGGGCGAGAGAGTCCCGCTCCGCCCCGCCGCCATTTTGTGGTGGCTGAGGGGCGGTGGGAAATGGCGGGAGGGGGCTTGGGGGGTACGAGGGGTCCGACGCTTAATTGCATTTCCGGAGCTGCACTGGACTACTTTTAATGTAGAGCTCATGGATCCTGATAAATGCCTTAAAGCTCATCCGGTTCTATAATCCCCGCCCCCTAGGGACAGCTCCCACTGTCCCAGTGTCCCAGGAGCTGCCAGCCCCAATGTCCAGCCTGGCCTTGGGCACTGCCAGGGTTCCAGGGGCAGCCCCAGCTGCTCTGGGCACCCTGTGCCAGGGCCTGCCCACCCTGCCAGGGAACAATTGCTGCCCAAGATCCCATCCAGCCCTGCCCTCTCCTCGTCTACATCCATTCCCCCTTGTCTTGTCACTCCAAGCTCTTATTTAAAGGATTCCTCTCTATCATGATGTATGGTGGTGATTTTTACATTTTTTGCAGGTGATATAGAACTGTAGGACACCTTTTGTCACTGTTTAGATAGACTTTATTTGTCAGAGTTTGCAATAATTAGCCTCCATTTGCTAATTCTGAAGTCTTACTGAAAGATGCTTTCCTATTTTTGTTAAATTCCATGGCTGTTCAGGCAGCCAGGCCTCTTCTCCCACCCACTCCCCCTTTCTCAATCATTTTCTAATTGGAATTAATGGCACGATAGTGCTCTGCAATCTGCTTTGCCATCTTTATAACAAATGTTCTTGTTTTAATGTAGCTCTTCTCATCCTGTAGTGGATTTTATAGCGTTGCTGCAGAGGAGATGGTGAATGGAGGCATAAAGATTCCTGTTACACAGTTGCATTAGCAGTAGCAGTTTAATCCTGGATGCTCAGCAGATGTTTTCTCTGCAGACAGAAGCGGGGATCTCCAGGTAAATATGATTAGAGAGTGTTATACACCTCGAGTTGTTTTACAGCTGGAGAAACAAAGATGAACACTCAAATCTATTCTCCTTCAAAGCACAAACTGATACAGAGCAAGTGCTCACCAGCCCTGGAATGCCACGGAGAAGGAGTTCAGAGTAACGGGTTCCAATGGCATTTATTGGAATCTTGGTAAAGGAAGGAAAGATAGTATCTTCTCAAGTGTTAGAAATGCCACATTCCTTAATTATGATGAGGATAATCAGGAATCAGGGCAGATTTTTACAGGCGATGCCAAGTGCTCCTTTGTAAAAAGGTAGTCAAACACAAACTGGGAATTACAGAACTAATTACTGGGTGAAGTTCACTGGCCTGTGCCATGCATGGGACCAGAATGGGTAATTATACTGGTACCTTCCACCTTTTAAATCTATGAATTTTTGAATTTAGGCTGCTTGTTCACATACATCTTTTTATGTCCACAGTTTATTTCTTCCCTAAAAAAACCTATTATTTTTTTGCCAGGTTGTCTTTCTCATCTTCAATAATACGTTACATTTTGCTGCTGTGAATATTACTTGGTGATGGGTTTTTTCAGATGCTGCTTTCTTACTCACTCTTCCCCACAAAAAAATGTTTCTCTTCTTGATCTAGATGCCAAAAAATACAAAGAAAAAGAAAAAAAACCCACAGGTAGCTAGAGAAAGTAATGCACAGGATCTGTCTTTTGTGATCCTGATGGAAGAAAGAAGCACAGAAAGCTTAGTGTATGTTTTAGAAAATACACAGGGCCGTACTTTGGGGGCTGAAACTGCCAATCACTGAGACAGAGTGAGAGAACCAAGATAAAAGTTGTACTGGCTTTTAAAATCCTCTTTTATGAGTAAGTAAACAGCTGTTTTAAAATGCTGAAATTATGTATTATCAAGTTCAGATGTGTGTACTTCACAAAAGCTCTTTAATAGCATAAACTCCCTAGACTGTTTTGCTAGTGTCATGGACAGAGGGCTCAGGAGACAAAACAGCTGTCATAGGTGACACAAAAATTGTCATCAAATTGACACCAAAATTGTTTTACTACAGAAATTATCCTCTGTTTTTGTTGACATGGTAAATTATTTTGTCTAGCATTCAACTTAGGAATTAACCTCCCTTCAGTCGTAAGGTCAGGTATTAACCACAAGATTAAGCAGCTGTTAAATGCTAAGTAATGAAAGGGAAAGGATGAGTAGAATCTGGGAGTGACATTATATAAAGGATATTAATTATATGTTTTTTAGCAAAACTATGGGTTAACAAAAATATCTCTGATAGAATAATTTCTTAGTCAGTCTAATTCACAATTATAGAAGTATGTCTTTCATAAGGATAATTAACTTGCCTCATTTGTGATAATTGTTTTTTCTTCCACAAAAGTAGGAGTTCTGAAATATGAAAGTATCTTACAAATGTAAAATAAACAATTAATAGTATTAAAAATAACATGGGGATCTTCAGCTGAAGAAAGAGATGTTGGTATGTGAAGCACACCAACATTTGTATTTAGTCCAATGGAAAGCTGAAAACCTTGGCATGGAATTGTGGCAGTTTCAGTTGAACTGGGAGAAAACAACAATTAACTGTAGACATTTTGGTTTGTCCATGCGAATTTCCCAGCCAGCCCACCAATTACCATTTAAAAAGATGTAAGCAAGAGATTTTTTGCGGGGCTTGTTTGTCTTTAACTGTGATTTCACAGAAGTGTATTCAGCTCTCTTAAGTGGTTTAACAGTGTGTCAGTATTCAAAACTTGCCAGCTGATTGGTGCTGGCAGCTAAGGAAGCTGCCAAGGTTCTTGTAGGGAATATAATATATTATAGTAGCTGGTGGATTTTTTCTTATCTAAAAACCAAACTGTGTTAAACCATGACAGAAACACAGATAATGTTAGTTTAAAAGTAATTACTCCTAGGAGATACCTTGATTTCAGAGAGCCCACCTAAGTCTCAGGCAAGTGGAGTAGTAAATGGAATTGTCCTTTGGAAGCAGTTACAGATTTGTTACAGACATTGACAGCAACAGGATGCCCATGGGAGGAGGCTGTTAGGAGGAGTAGCATCTTTTATTCTTTCATTATAGCTGTTAAAACCAGTCAAGCTTCCAAATATGCAAGCCTTCCTTAAGGTGTGAAACTGAGTTACTTTCAAATGTAATTATGCTCTGAAAATATTTTTTTCAGGGCACAGTTCAAGGGACACTTTCCTCCCCCAACTGTTCTTTGGACTGGATCATTTTGCAGATCCAGTTCGGGGTGTAGTGGCACAAAGGCTTAACTGGCCCACAGAAAAATGTGAAACATTTTTAGCATTAAAAAGGTGGAGATGGATGCAAAATTAGTGATTTTCTTGGCAACAATATCAGTTTATATTGGCAGAAAGAGCTTGTCCAACTACAGCTTTACTGCAAATACACATACATTATTTGTTATAAGGGCATGAGAACATGATCACATGAGACAAATCAAACTCTTTCCCAAGCCCCAGATACTGCTAATGCCTAGTGCATTTGTTAATTGTATTTCTCAGGATCATTCATGATGATATTCAAGACAAGGTGGTAAGTATTAAAATATTACTTAAGAAGTTTTCAGTGTATTGTGATACTTTATAAACAAGAGAATAAAAAAATTGGAAGTTTCATTTTGTATTAAAATATCTTTATGTGCAGTTGTCTTCCTGACAATCTACTGTTTTAATTTTGTCAGGCACCACAACACAAATGGTCTTTAAGACTGTATAATTAACATTTTTAACCTTTTACAGTTAACATTCTAACATAAGAGTTAACATATGCAGCTCAAGTTACTGCTCTCAACCTGAATTAAAATACTGTTATTTTTGCATCTGTTTGAAGCCCAAAAGCGGGCCTGTGCACCTGAATTTTGCCTGTTAACTCTGGTTGTATCATTTCATTAGGATTGTAGGGGGAAGTAACACAGTACCTGTGTAATTCATACTTTTAAGCCATCATGAATATAAAAGTGCTGTAGGAACTTCTGTGTGACTCTGCTTAATAGTGTTGTTTTTTAGTGAAAACCACAGATTGTGTGAAAAGTTATCGATTGAGTGTTACTCATGAAAGCAGCTAAGCTGGATGTGCATAGTGACAAAATCACAGTTTTGGCAGTGTACCTAGATAAATTTATTTTTACATTATTTGAAATAGTTCAAAAAATTGCCCTTCATGTAAGTGATTCCTTATGGAAGCAGAGTCTCATTTTTATGTACTATCAGTATTTCAGCAGCTGAAATACATGTCTAACAATAATATTTTACCTTGACAGAATTACTTTTTTCATTAGTCTTTTGCAGCATTAATTAAATCTCCCAAAAGACTGTTTAAAATACTTAAGGGAAGGTTGACCAGTTCTAGAGGCTTCTCCAGGATACAGCACTTGCACAGTGAGTAAGAGCCACTTTGCATTATTTATTTTGCCTTCATGTCTTTCTCTAAAATGGAGTATGTAAAGCTCTGTGTTTTTATCATAGACACCAAGACAGTTGGTTTGCAATTACAGCAAGCAGCGTTATAATTACTTGCATTTTGAACTATCTCACTGTAACAGCCATTGCTTGGTTGCTAAAGCTTGAAGGAGTTCTCTTGTGTGTAGGAATATTTTAGGAGCCCTGAAATCACCATTTTTCCTTGCAGGCGCAATACTCAATTTACTTGCAGGTTAAAGGAAAAAATGCCCTTAATTTTTCTGCCCTATTTGTGCTTATTTTTTCTATAGTTTGAAAAGGGATTTGTTTGGTTTTTTTTAAGACTTCCTAATGGTTTTTCCATCAAGAGGACAGTATATGTTTCAAAATATACATGGAAGTAAAAAAGAGCCCACAAAATACAGTTATTCTAATACACTTATGCTATACATGATTCACATACTTGTCACACATTATTTTTTGTCTTTTTCATTCTTTACAGTCCTTTAGTTGTGGACAAACCTTTTTAATATATCAATATTCCTGTATCATGTGTAAAACTTATTATCTATAAAATCTTTCAGTGATGCCTTGTTTCTAGCTGTTCACAGCTATATGTATTGTCAACCTGACTGAGCTAGGTGAAAGATTTGCATGTGTCTTAGAAAAAAATTAAGAAATGAGTTAAAAAAAAAATAAGAAATTGGTAAATTTTTTTGTCCCCTAATCTTGGAAAAAAAAGCTGACGGGTAGAGCTCCATTTAATAAAATCAATGTTGTCAACAAGGTATTATTTGTTTCCAAAGCCATGACAGATATTGTGAATGTTTCCTAGAGAAATTCTCCACATCAAGCTAAAATTTGTGACATACTACAGGTGATATAGAAACATAGGACACCTTTTGTCATTGTTTAGATAGACTTTATTTGTCAGAGTTTGCTGTAAATTTTGCTGAGTTTTGAAGGAGGTGTTTAACCTACCCAGATTTTTTTGTTTGTTTGTTTGTTTTGGTTTTTTTTGTACAAATTAAAAGACCAAATTGCACTCAAACTACCAAGTCAAGCAGTTGATGTACAATGAATTGGAAAGGACTTTTGGATTTTTTTTGTGTGGACAATGTGTTCAACTGTATGTGTGGTAAAGTGGTATGCTAAGATACCAAGTTTCTGTCATTTCCATGAAAAGGAAAAGGTGAGCAAGCGTAAGAAGCAAAACTGGAGGAGTTTTTGCCTACTGTGGTGTTTGTTTTTTTCAGTCATTGCAGGCATTCTCTGGGTGATTCCCAGTGCTGAGGGTTTGTGTGAGACAATGTCAAAAGAAATACAGCAGTTTTAGAGAAATAAAGGTGGAGGAGAAATGTTTTTCTATTAGGTACTTTTCATGCAAAAAATCACTTTTAACTATTGAAGATCAATTTGCCTTCTTCTATAACTTATTGTAACAATGTAACTACACCTCTGTTTTAACTACTTTCACAGTACATTTTCTGGACTGATGTTTCCAGCAACTTCTAGCTGGCCATAAGCAAGAGCTCTCTGTACCATTACTTTCTCTCTCTAATTATGGCAGATGGTATTGCTGTAATTCTTCTTGTTTATATGTTGTTAGACTATAAATTCACCTGTGACAACATCTTTCAACTGTGTCGTTTACAGCCTGTCAGTGTGGTTACTGCTGACTTACCATGATGAAAGAACAATAACTGGTGTTTTTACAAACCATTCTCAGCAACCATACACACACATGCCAGTGTTGACAAGAGATGAAATTCTGTAATTTCAATTTTGACATCAGTGAGGATATAAAAATGATTTATCATCTTAGTTCTCAGAGCTCAAAGATGGAACTTCTGAAGCTGCTGAAAGTATCTGAAGATGCACTAGCTCATGGGACCTGATGAGATGTACCCACAGTTCCTGAGGGAATATTTCACCTTCCTGCAAATACATGACAAGAAACTAGGCATGTTTCTTATGATATTTTGATTCATTAGTAACATTCAGTTCAGTCTAGCTGTTTTATTTACATGTGAGCCTGTCAGTTCCTCTAGTGTTCTGTTCACTGATTTCTTCTCCAAACGTAGATTTTCAGAATGTTTTTGTAATATGCTGGTGAAATTGAGTGTGTCCCCTATCAGTGATCATTATAATGAAATATTAACTGTTTGAAGTGTTGAATGTGAAGTCTGCTGGTGGCCTTTGGTTTATATGCATTGTGCATAACATTATTACCCTTGTTTATGAGGTCAACAAAGAGCTAACGTCTGCCAAAGCACAGACACTTTTCGTGTCAGAGCTGGCTGCTTGGTCAGCAGTCAGGCATGCTGAAAGTGCAGTGAATATTTATCTTGGACTTGGTTATGTGTTTTCTATGTAATTCAGGCTGTACCAATGCGTTCACTTTAAATTTGAACTTAAAATGAAGCGACATTGATGAAGACTTACATCATAATTACAAGCACTAACAAGGTCACTCTGCTAGAAACCCCTCTGCTAGGGTTGCTTTACCAGTCAAATGAGTAGGAGGAAATATTTGACTGATAAACTTCTCATAATGGAATAACCAGAAGTTTATTTTGTAGACTGCCATTTTCAAAACGTTTGGAGCTACTGCCTTACCATAGGTTACTAAGTATCCAGAAGAAAGTTTGTGCCAAGCTGCAAACTGCAAATGTAGCCCAAGAGCTAAGTAACAACTACTTTTCCAAAGGGGAATCTCAAGTTAGTATTTTTCCACATCGTTTTGGTGGTGGATCTGCTTCTGTGATGTATCCAAATATTTTTGTGGAACATAAGCTGGATTTTGTTAGTGTGCACATTCTTATGCTGGAATGTTCTGTGTGTGTGTTCTTCTCCACCTAAAACTGGATGTCTTTTTACAAACAAATAGTGTTTGTTTGGTCCACTCTGAGGTACCATGGAAGAGTTTCTTGCTGTATCAGGTTTATGGGGCAAAGTTTTGGTAGTGGAGGGCTGCAAGATAAGGTCCTGAAATAGCCAGCCTATGTTAGGAAAATTTACATTTTCCCTCCTTACCTTGGAAATCATGAACATGACTCTCCCTGCACTCTTTTTGGCTCCTCTCAGGTCACCCAACTCCAAAATCCTTATTCAGGGCTTTACTTGAACATTTTAAAAAATCTTTTTGATCAGCTTAATATTTGTTCCTGAGATTAAAAAAATCCTCTTAAATGTCTGAAGAAACACACTCTGGAATTCGTATTAGGTGGGCTTACTGTCATTTTTAATCCTTTGTGGCTCTAAACTTTATCAGATGTTTGATGTATTTATCAAATACCTTGAACAATTTCTTTTGCTCAAAAGGTTATCTCTTTGTCATGTCTCATCTTTGTCTTGTTCTATGTCTTGAAGAGATGTGTGCAAAGCCTTCCCTGAAGAATTTGGTAACTTCAGCAGCTTGTCACTGGGACCCAGCTCTCTCCTTTAAAATAGTTCATTTTATAAATGGCAATTCAATACATTTTATAAAAGGAAATCATTATCAACTAGACATGGGGATAGCAGCGGATTTTTTTTTTTCCTGCACATACTCAATTGCTTCACGAAATTTCATTTCACAGTTGGAAACTTGACTCTTGACTAGAGCTGTATGATACTGCCAATTTTTGCTTTGACTATTGAAGTGTAAAAATAGCTAACTTTGCAAGAATACAGCATGTTTAATCCAGCTCAAGGGTGTCACATTATTGTAGAGCAAGTGGTTCTTGTCTTTGAAAATAACCAGGCTGAAGTAATGGAAATATGAAACAGAAAAATGTCATTTGCCTAAATGTACTCAGGTTGAATCAATTGTTATTTTTTACTTGTCTTAATTAGAAATCAAGATTGTGAATGGTTATTTCTTGTTTAAAATTACACAAAACTGAGCAGATTGGTGACACATTGTACTTGTTTGTTTCCTTGCTCTGGTAGCACACAGCACAATTAAATACACGTAAATGTGTTCCCTTATTGCTCCTCAGAGCAAGGAGCAGGGCCTGGGACATGAATTTTTGCAGGGGATGATGCTTTTGCTATGGAAGGACAAGCACATGACTAAGTACCTGTTGCTGAGTCTTGCTTGAATCTGCTTGTGGAGTGTTTTTTGAAACAGTTTTTGAGATAAATAGGCAGCATGGGTGGAAAACGTTCTTGAAGCTTCAGCTCTGTGAGTGAGAGTTCAGGGACAGGTGGTAGAAATATGGGGCAGATACACAAAAGTTTCCCTAAGAAACTCAGTTCTCCCACTTTTACTTGCTTTTACTTGCATGCATAATGTCAGACATCAACTTTACTTATACAAAATTTTTATCACTGATAGCACTTCCTCCTAGATTATGCCTAAAGTGTGAGAATTGCACATGTAGGATGAGAACACTGAAGCTTCTTGTCTCTTGAGACTGAGGGTGCGTGCAACAACTTCATCCCAGTTCTTGTCTCTGCTCTTTATTTCTGGGATTTCTTTCCTTTGGAAAATACTTGCAAGTCATATCACAAGAGCCAAAAGTTGTTCTGATATTTATTATTTTTCCTCAAATCTGAAGTCTCTTTCTAGGCTTTCTTGGCAGATCTCTTCAGGCCTTTTAATCTGTTGATCTTTTATGGGGTTGCCTTAAAATGCAATTCCATCTCTTGAGTACTTGATGCATGGACAGTGATTTGGAGACAAAGCTGGGATGAAGCAGAGGACTGGGGCTGGGAAGGATATTTGGGAAAAGGTAAATGAGGAAAGGGCCTGTGAAAAAAGATATAGGGGATTGGATGACATATCCATGAGACAACAGCATCAGCTTTGTGTTCTGTGCTACCATTCCCTCATGGATTCAGCAAGGCTCTTTGGGGTACAAGTACATGATACTGGATGGTGCTCCAGTATGTGCTGAAGTGCATCCCAGACTGGAATTGGCTTTACAAATAAGCCCATCTTTTCATCTGATGCATCTGATTTGGCGTCTTGATAAAAGGAAGACAGTAACACATCATTCTGTCATCAGTCTCCAAAGGGCATGTGAATGTTATAAGGAAATATCTGTTAAATCTCCTGGAATTAGAAGTGACAATATAATAAACACTTTCAGTTTGTATTTATTGTGCCTTGTGTGATGTTTATTCTTTTGCCTCCTACTGTGAGTATTATATTTGTTGAGAGCATACATATGTTTTCACATCTGTCATTCTCCTCTTTCAGTAAAACATTCAAGAAGCAAGTTGTTGTCCTGGATGTTGTGCAGAGGCATACTAGTGTTGGTGATGTGATACATCATATATCACACATATCAACATTATACACGTGATGATGGCAATGTGTACTTAAAATAATTTTTAGTTCTTAACTATGAGTTTTTTTGACAGAATAATGTTGTGCAAGTCCTTGTTCTCTTTAAATCTCACTCTGTTAACTGTTTTTAACAACCCTAACATTCTCTGCAATTCTACCTCCCTAATTTACTTTATGAAGTTTATGAAGGCATTTTGTGGCAATTTAGCATTTTTTTTTCAGATAGCCAAGGTTACACAACTGTTCTTGGAGAGCTAGGCCTGGCTTCAAATCAGCTAATTACCAAAGAAAACCGCATAGTCTTTAAAGGAGGTTTTAAATCACTTGCACAGGAGTCCCACGGTAGCTTCAGCCTTAGGAGGCTTTCCTTAAGAATCATGTTCATTCCACATAAAGCTAAAATATGGAGCATTTTCCAACTTATCCTTGAATTTATTGCAAGCAAAGAAAGATGAGTTGTGGAGACAAAGTCCAAATCTGAATCTAATCTGTGATTTAGATCTGAAGGGGTCAGCAGCAGGCCCTGTCTATACTAATTTATTCTCTTTAATTGACAAGCAGAATGATCTTACTATTTATCTTGGTCTTGTGCCTGTATCTCTGTGGTCTTTGGAAGAATGTCTTGTCAAAATCAGTGTTGCAGAAATGATCCATCATTTGTCCACAGGAATTCTACAGAAAATGCAGGTGCAGGGAGCATTATGTTCCCCATAAGTGTCTTTCTGTGTTGCTCCTAATATGTATTAGTACTTCCTACTAAGCAAAATCTGCCCTAAGAATGTATTCTAGTGATTCTCTTTTCTAGAGATATTGTAAATAAATTAATTTAAAAATCCCACTACAGTTTCTCTAAGCTATGTGTTAGGGTTGCTGGCTATTTCTATTTGCCTACAAACATTTTATAACCTTCTTAATTTGGCTGAGGAGACAAAAACAATAGGTTATCAGAAGAAAATGTATTTTTCTTGTTTCTAGTTATTAGATCTGCTTCTAGAAGAGGAGGAAAAGTCAGTCCTTCATCTGAGTGCATGCAAAGAGAGATCTTACAGGTCATATTTGCTATGGTGCAAGGGCTTATGAGCAATTCTTTTAATTGTCATGATAGTCGAATAACAAAGCTATGTCCTGGTTATTCAGTGTAAGTGTCTTTAGGACTTCCAAAGGGACAAGGAATTCATGAAGAAGACCATGTGAGATTATATTAACATGAGACTTGTGCTTGCAATGAGTTCTGCTGTGCACGACCTGAGTTGTCACTACAATGGCACACAAAATGAATGAAAATATAAGTAACAAATAAAAAACCTTTTTCTTAACATGGAATATTTTGTTTTTATAATCTCAGAACACTGTGCTACAGGAAAATGTGATGAGTACTGCGAAGTGTGAAGTCCTTATGCAATGTTTATAAAGAGTTAAAGCTCACAGAGCTAATCTAAACTTACAAATACCATAAACAATTTTGCATTGATTTCATTGGATTGTTTCGAAATTTGACTATAAGTCAGTTGAGTTGACTCGATAGATTCTCCTTGGTAGTTTCAGTGAAATGTCTGAGACTACTTTAATTTGAGCCCTGGAAATTATGTATTTTATTTACTGATTAATATACAGGAATAAACCTGATTAAGTGAGGAACAACCTGTAGAGGTTTTTTCCTAAGCTTGCAGTGTGTAAGGAAGCTGGTCACTCTTGGCTGTAACTGCAGTTTTAAGTTTCATAATGCTCTTTCTGTGAGTTTGCTCCAAGTATGAAAAAATCCAGAAGAGAGATCGGGAAGCATGAGAAAGCAGAAGGAGCATTTTATATTCATGTGTGAGGGAATGATAAATTAGGTGCTGTTGGGTGTGTATATGAACACATATAGACACTGTGTGTATATATATATATATACACACTGTGTTTGGATACAGCTATAAAAACAGAAGCAGCTAGGAAAGCAGCTTGGATATTTCCACACACTGTGTTTGGATACAGCTATAAAAACAGAAGCAGCTAGGAAAGCAGCTTGGATATTTCCTGTCAGAATCTTTCTTTGTGTGAAGGTATTCCTTTGCTGAAACTGAAGCTAGAGAAGTTCCCTGTGAAAATATTTTGAATATCTCACCCAGACTTTCCCACTGGTGTTTTATACTGTGTGCAATGAAGTTGTGCATCAATGTTTTAGAGAGCAGAGAATCTCAAAATCGTGACTTCATGCCCTCTGCCCTCTTCTTACCTTTATAGGGAAAAATGAAAGATAAATATTACATGACAGGACCTCCTTTGGTTTGTCTGAGTTCCATTTTCCTTCAAGATGATTTATTTTTAAGGCCTGTAGAAATGTCTCTTCTTCACAGCCATGACAACCAGAAGAGAACAGACTTCCACCACGACCTTTAGTGCCTCCAGGCAGAGAGATCTGTGGACCATCCTGTGGGTCCATCCCGTGGGTTGTGGCAGCTTATGGCAGAGCATCTTGAGAGCTGTTCTTCCCTGTGAAATAGCAATACATATATTTCAATAGCAACTCTCAGTTTAGTTTCTATTTGGAGTTTTGTTGTATTGGTTATTTAATATAATTGGTTATTATTGTGTTGTTTGGTTATTTTTGTTTATTTGTTGGTTTTTGTGGCTTGTATTTTTTTAATCAAACACCAAAACTATAACAACTGTGCAAACAGTTTAGAGAGAAACATCTTATACAATGCCAATTTGTCTTTTAAAAATGTGTGTGTTTTTCTTTCCTCAAAAGATGGGCAGTGTGACTATATTATACCTGCAAAATGCTTATACCTTATTTTCTTACCCCTGAAAAGATGTGTTTGTTTCATTGTGAGTTTGAATTGCTACTCATTCAAGACATGAGCAGTTGTTACATGTGTTATCTTTAGTCAGCACTGTTTTCAGTAGGTTTGCTCCTAAACGAACTGGAAATAGGAATAAAGGAGGAAAAATGCAGTTTGTGAGGTTGGCATTACTACATAGTAATGTCTTTTAACATGTGAAGGAATTGTCTGTGGTCTGCACAGCACCAGCAGAAAGCCTTGGCTCCTTTCACCATCAGCTGGAGCAGGGAATACAAACAAGCTTTACGAGAGGCTAAGGGGGAAATGAAGAATGAGTGAGGTGAATGTTAAAAAATTTAAATAGTAGGTGTCAGCTACCTGTTTTGGACTGGAACCAGTTAAGAGATGCTGACATAAAAGGGATGCTGGAAAGTAGGTGATGATAATGAGAAAATGGGTGAGGTGTTCTCCCCAGCTGCTGGAGCACTGGCCAGAGAAAATCCATGCTGAAGGACCTCTGAAGGTCACCAATCCAACTAGTTTATAAATGGTGCTAACATTTCTATTGTGTGTGCAAATGTTGAAAATGTCAATTACTACAATGAGCACTGCAATTTACTTGTGCAAACAGATAAAACACAATAGGGAATATCCAGTTAATATAATGGTTTCATTCAGCCATCTAATGTAAAGAAATCTTTCTACTCAAGATAGTAGTTGCATTAGGCACTTTCTTATACAGTGACAAAACAATAATACTAGGTGCTGTAAGAAAGGCTTTCTTAGGTGAAATATAATTTGAATTGTAGTAGTTGTAGGTTTCCTTTAAATATTTTAGTACCTAATAAATATTCCAGCAACAATGTAGATGAATTTTAACAGAGTGTCTTGCTGGTACTACTCATGCTAATTTGCAAGATTTACAGCAATTACCATTCCTGAAAGCTAAAAAATAGTGAGTTATTTCATGAACACATAAAACAAGGCCTTTGAAAACATTTAACAGGACTTTTAAAATGAAATATTTGGCTCAGATATAATTTGGGATGGATACAAAATTAAAGTGCACTGTCATTCCTGACATTCATAAAAATAAATTATTGTGTATTGTTTCCTTCTCTTTATTTCTGAATACAGATCAGTAAGAAAGAAACTAGGCACTGTCATTCTCTTCTTCCTGAGGGTGTTGGGAGTTTGGTGTGTGCACATCCAAATAGCCAATTAACCCTGGAACCCAAGAAACCTCTTTCATAAGCTTATGTTTGGAAAACCAGGAAGATTAGTCTCTTAAGAAACCAGAACTTTTTTAAAACATGTGTTAAGACAATTAATTTTTATTACTTTTTTTCCTTAGGCAACTTAATCTACAGCTATTCCAGCAGTATCATATATGTAGGGACTTTTAAAGGAGAGGCAGAGGGATAGCATATGAGAAGGAGCTCATGATGTCTCAGTTCAGAGTTAAAAACTAGATTGTGGTGAAATCAATGAGAGAAAAATCTGTTGATTACTGAGACAGGTCTTACTTATCACCGACATTTGTCAGGAAGTTCCTTTAGAGGATTGAAGTAAAAGAATTTGTGCGTGCACTTCTCTCATTCTGATGCTTATTATTCTGTTGAGTTTATGTGTATACGCATACATGTATTTTCAGATCATACAGTACTGGGTAAATATTGCTTTTTCCCATATCACTTAGGGCTCTTGTACTTATCACTGCAAGACTCTAATTCATAATATTTTTCAGTAATTGTAAATCTATGTTTTTTAATTTAGGATCAAGCCTCTGACATTCTCTACTGCCATACAAATTGTTCTCTCAAAATGGTGCCCTATAGAAACATCTTGAAGATCAGCAGGGAAAAACTCTGATAGTACTTCATGAGCTGGAAGCTTAAACAAATTCATATCTTTAGAAGATGCAGAAGAGCTCTCTAAACTAATCTCAGTATAAATCTATGTAAGTTGAGTTCTCTGCTAGTGTCATAGTCTTTGCTGAAATTAGGTTTGTGTTTTTCTACATCCAAAACATTCTTTAATAATTTTAATTTCCGATAGAGAATTAGAAATATAAAATGTAGTAGCCTAGTTCCCTACAACTAAAAAGGAGGAAACAGATAAAAAGTGACAGTGTGGATTAAGCCATACACACATCCATGATACAGCGTGTGATATGTAGCAGTACTTGTGCAAATATAAGGATAAAAGTGATAAAACTAACCTCAGCCCCTGACTGTGGCCATGGGAATAGTTTAGTTGTATACTTTAGCCATTTCTTTCTTAAGGTGTTCAAGAAATGTGTTTTAAACTGCAAAGCAACAATTTCACGTATGTCAGATAATAAATTGCATGCTTTTGTTGAAATTATTTCTTTTTAATATGAATATACTGATAAATATACAGAAATTGCAACTGGTAAGTGCATGAAAACATTCAACAATCTCAAGCATGAACCCAGTCTGGGTAGAGAGGGGACAGCAGCCCCGGGGGTGCCGTGGGGCAGAGGCGGGAGCCCCAAGGGCTGTGCTGGGCTGGGCCCCAGCGTGGGCAGCAGGGCAGGGGGGATTGTGCCCCTCTGCCCCTCAGCTGAGACCCCACCTGCAGAGCTGCCCCAGCCCGGGCCCGGCACAGGGAGCAGCTGGAGCTGCTGGAGCCGGCCCAGAGGAGGCTCCAGGATGAGCAGAGGGACGGAGCAGCTCTGCTGCCAGGAAAGGCTGCCACAGCTGCCATTGCTCAGCCCGGACAGGAGAAGCTTTGGCCTCAGCTCCCTGTGGCCTCGCAGGGCCCGAAGGAGCCGCAGGAAAGGTGCAGAGAGACAATTGCCAAGGGCTGCGGGGCCAGGAGCCAGGGAATGGCTGCCAGTGGCAGAGGGCAGGGCTGGATGGGATCTTGGGCAGCAATTGTTCCCTGGCAGGGTGGGCAGGCCCTGGCACAGGGTGCCCAGAGCAGCTGGGGCTGCCCCTGGATCCCTGGCAGTGCCCAAGGCCAGGCTGGACATTGGGGCTGGCAGCTCCTGGGACACTGCGAGCTGGCCCTGCCGTGCCTGGGGTGGGAATGGGTGGGATTCAGGGTTCCATCCAACCCAAAATAATCTGAGATTCTATAATAATTTACATGCAGAGATAAAAAGCAATATGAAGTTCCCTGTCAGTTTCTTGGGCATCATTCAGGACAGACTTTCAAGTCCCAGTACTCTTGTTATTTGAGTTGTTCTGAAATGACGATTCAGTAATATTTTCCGTGTAGATTCGTAATTAATCAAACAAATTACAGTGTAATAGTATTGATTCTCTTGATTATTTTCTATTTCCTTGGAAAAATCTGTTTCAGTGCATTGCATTTATGGATAATTTATCTAGCAGTGGTTCTGCTTCCAGAGAGCTTCCCAAACAGGGATTTGTAGAGTAAGTTGTAAAAGCATGTTCCCTGCCTGGTCTGGCATTTCTCCTTGTAAGTGAGGTGAGTTCTGCTCTGTCTTCCTCCC